AATATACTTAAAAGAGCAGAAATAAATTACGACAGTAATCGATCGCTGTTATTGCCATAATAGAAGAGCTTTATCTTTTATTACAGATTTATTAGAGGATATTTATTACGTTATTTACGTTATAATAACAAATACATGAGATATTTGGTGATAAATAGCGAGTTGTATCTGATTATCTCACTGTCGAATAAGCAATCTATTGTGCGAGGTATGAAAATTCACGATTTATGGTGGACAAAAGTGCCGACCGCTCTATGATATCGAGTTGATGATATTATCGTGGCCCTCGACGCTTCGTTATCGTCAACATACGTTGAAACCGTGCTGCTATTTATAATGTAGATACGTACCATCGATCCATGTACACGTGAGCATGTGAAGAGAATAGTGGAGAGTGTAAATAGTATTCTAAGTATATTTCATGCACGATAACACGAACACACACAACGCTATCAACAGTTTAGAGCAATGCTACGGCACTCTAGTGTAACTATCCAAATATAATAGTTAACTCAACAATTAATATTCCGATTCCATCAGAAATAAGATTAACTTTAATCTCGGTTGATTTTACTCTCTATCTTTTAACTCTTTTATCTCTTTCTAATTTTAGAATTAAAAAAAAGAAATATCCATTTCCAATTATATTAAAAAAAAGAAAGATAAACAGTAAGTTCAAAAAACCGAGATAAAAATTAATCTACATTGATGGAAAGGAGAATACGTCCGATAAAATCTTTCTTGGAATTTCCAATCTCTTTAGCGAGATTATTTTTCGCAAACACCGCTGCGGATGCTGACTGTACTAAGCTGCATATTCTATCTCTACTCAAAGTGATATTACTCACACATTTAATACGTATTCTAATGCGCATTCTGACACGTCTCGATAATTTCTAACAATCCACAATAAACGCGATTTAACGTCTCTTATCCGCATCTAAGTTGACACGATAAGAATCGTAGATTTTAAGTAGATTAAAGAAACGGATACGATAATTCGCACAATGTCTTACAGGAGGATTTTCAAGGTTTAGTATGTAAGGCGTAACAAAAAAGATTTTAATCGCGTGTGTTCAATATTGAATATTTTCAAATTACATTTTAATAAAGAATAATACGATACTCTCTCTTAGAGATTATTTGAAAAAACCGAAAATAAATTGCTAAACATTATACAATCGTGTTAATGAATTTTGATACATTTTCTTCAAGGTCATTTTTTAATTACAGTTAATCGACACAAACTATTAAACGAGTACATTGAAAAAAAAACAAGACCAAGTGATATAAATGGACAATCTTGCACGTATATAATGTACGGAATAAATTCAACAAACGAACGTCCTTTCCCTTTCTACTAATTAACTTCGAGCAAATCCCAGAAAAAGAATTATATATCGCATATGAAGCAAACCGAATAAATCAAGCAAACGGGTGTCCTTCCACTTTTTACTAATTAGCACCAGCAAGCTCTGTATAAAGAATCGAGTACGTAAATCCCTCTATAAACTTCGGAACGCGTTTCGTTCTCTATAAATTTCGGAATGAGTTCCACTGTGACGATGCGATTTAATCCACGGCGATTTTTGCCCGAGCACGTTCGAGCACGAGTTCGAGCTGAAACTCTCGTGCATGCGCGCACGCGCGCATTTACTCGCGTGCGGCCAATTACGCACCTTGTTACGCGCGGTATTACGCGCGGCCCGATCTCTCCTGCGATCGCCTGCGTGCAACCGGGCACGGGTTAACGAACCTTTTGAAGTTCCGCACTCGCGAGCGCAGTGTAGAACGAGAGGAAGAGAAAGAAGGAGAGATGAAAGAAAGAGCGAGGACAAGAGAGAAATTAAATAAGTATGATATATATGTACGCGATTGATCTGCGTATTAGCGAGAAACGCGCCCGGTCGGTAGTCGCTAAAAATAATAAGCTGAATAATTTGGATAAATTTCGATGTCGATCGCAGCTTTAAGAAAAAAAGTCGCGATGGGATCGCGGAGTCCGTGCCGCAAATTTACGGCGATCAGTTAAGGCGACGATTCTTTTTGTTCTTTCTTTTTTTTTTTTTTTGTTGCAACGACTTTATTAATATGACTGAGGGTCTGTAACGCGAGCATGTGACGCAAGATATATTTTATCAAGCGTTTCTAAACGATGATATATTAAATCATGCGACACACGCAATCGAACTTTTTCACGATCACGCCACCGGTCAGGTTCGCTGCGAGGACCTGACTCTTTTATCAAATAAAATATTTTGAAAAATGAAATAATATTAATTCAACAGTTTGATGATATATATGAAAAATCAAACAAGATTTGAATTTCTATTACAATTAATTGCAATCGCTGTAGACGTAAGAATTTGTTACACTGACTGTGACAATTCCATAATTATTAAAATAATTGTACATACACGAATGTCTATAAATTTTGAGAAACCAAATTCGGAAATCGCGGAAATATCTTGAATTTATGAAAATTGATTTAGTTTAGTTTTTTTTTTTTTTTTT